CCCCAAAACCCCAAAACCCCAAAACCCCAAAACCCCTAAAAATTGCTTAAATTCCAAAATTTTAACAATTTTCCAAACCTCAAGAGCCTCTTTCCATGTCGTTCTAAGCTCTCAGTCTTTCCTTTAAAGAGACTTTAATAACATGAACTCTGAATTAGGCGTTCTCCTTCAGAGATTTTACACTCTCCTGAACCTGGATAGTAGGTTTTTGAACACCAGGATCAGAAAGTCTCTGATGTCTTCTCAAATGCCTCTCTCTAGAGGACACTCTTGAGTAGCTCCGAGAGTTGTGAGAGGTCCGACATCTGAGAGCCTTGAACGAACCGATCCGTGATTTGCCTAAGTTCTTGCTATTTTTGCAATAGATTCGATGCCTGCCTTGGAAAGATCTTGTGGCCAAATTTTGATAAATTAGCAGCATCATCAAAGTTTTCTGAACTATATGGGTTGTGAGGACATGACTCTCTTTTAGCACAGAAGCTAAATTTGTTCTTTTTAAGTTTTAAATTCAAATTTCCTATAAGATAGACAAAAATCCCACTTTTTGCAGACTTCGGACCGATTGGACCAGGAATATCTAGTTCTAAAAGATCGGTATCTTTCTTCCTGCTCCAGTTATAGAGTCCTATTAGCTGAGAAAGGACAGTTGCTTTCTTGTTAATGAGATTATGCTCAGGAGCTAACTTTGAATCAATGTCAATTTTGAACCCTTCGATGAGCAAAGTCAAGATATGATCATTCTTTATAGTCAGAGATTTCACAACTTCTTTGAAATTGTCTGTTTCGTACTTATCAGTCTTGGTTTTATCAAGGATTCCAAGATCTGCCTTATCAGCTTTTGTAGACAATAATTCTCTAATTTCTTCGATTGTGAGTGGGGTTTCCCCAAGATGTTCAATAACTTGCTTATTTAATAATATTCTGACCATGCTCTAGCTTACTTTCAAGGTCTTGAGCGATCTCTGATTGCTTGTGATCAATACTCTCCTGTAAATGCTCCATTTTCTGCTCAAAATCTAGCTTAAGCTGGCCAACATTGTTGGTCATCTCTTCCAAGCTGGTCTCTGTAGCATAATCTCTAATTTTTTCAACTAATTTATCAACTGAAAATTTAGAAGCTTTTTCAAGTAAGATCTCATCAAATCTGTTTATAATATTCTTCATCTCTTGATTATCTCGAGTAAATCTCTCTAATCGTCTAGAACAGGTTTCTGCTAGAGGTTCAACCCTAAGTTTGACTCTTTCAATGTGTTCATACTGGCAGCAATTATCAAAATTTTTCCATAAAGCATCAGTTTTAACCTTAACATCACTATTTTTCGGCTTTATTAGCAATCTTGAGTTCGAGAGACCTTAATTTATTTGAAAAATCAGAGATCACACTCTTGTAATTGCTCGAAGACTCTGAAAGAGATTCGATAGAATCTTTATTTCATCTTATTTTCCATATTAAATACATTAATTGGACAGTAAGTGCTCTGGAGATGGGCATCTATCTCTGCTCTCGTGGTTTTGAATATATCCTTGATCTCGTCTTTTGTGTACCTCAATTTTATCTTTAAGGTTTGTGACAAAAAATTTACCTGTTCTTCAAGATGTTGGATATCAACAGATGCTTGATCGCTAAAGCTCCAAAGAGAATACTTACAGGTCGGATTGCTTGGCTAACTCCTTAAGACTTTCAACTATCTCTTTGTACTCGTAATATGGAACAAAATCTTGAAAGCGAGTGTTGGTCTTTTGTAAGTCATCTTTATCCGCTTTTTCATCTATTTTATGAAGAGTTCCAAGAATCTCTTCTATTTTCCTCTGAGTCTCAAATACCTGCTCTGATATTATATTGAATTCACCACGAATAGACATTATAGAACGATGAGCTGAATCTGTCTTCTCTCTATACTCATCGAATTGCATCTGAAGGGGCTTCAGATGCTAAAATTTAAACAAATAACAAACCTGGTCAAGTGCTGCTCTATCCATGTTTAAATTTAAAACTTCTATATTTTCCTTTATCGTGGGGTTTTGGGGTTTTGGGGTTTTGGGGTTTTGGGG